GCTCATTCAAACCCCGCCCCCTCGCTCAGACCCCGCCCACCGCACGCCCCACCCCGAGCAGGCCCCGCCCCGCCGCCGCCGCGTCCGTACCCAAGGCAAATCAGCCACTTCCCCTCCCGGCATCCCGCTCCGCTCTCTGATTGGTCAAAATGGCCGCCGCTCAGCGCGCTGACCAATGAGCGAGCAGAACGCCGCGCAGGGGGCGGGCGTTCCCCCCCTTCCGGCCGGTGCGGTGCCGTCGGCGCGGCCTGAGCGGGGGAGGCGGCGCCGGCACCGGGATCGGGATCCGGGTCGGGATCGGGGCCGGCTCCGGCACCGGGACCATGTTCCGCCGCAAGCTCTCTGCGCTCGACTACCACAACCCCGCCGGCTTCAACTGCAGGGGTGAGGGGGCTGCGGGGCGGCCGGGGCAGGCTGGACCGGATTGGGATGGGATCCATGGGATGGGATGGGATCCATGGGATGGGATTGGGATGGGATCCATGGGATTGGGATTGGTATGGCATGGGATGGGATCCAAGGGATGGAATGGGATTAGGATCCATGGAATTGGGATGGCATGGGATTGGGATGGGATCTATGGGATGGCATAGCATGGCATGGGATCCATGGGATTGGGATTGGGATGTGTTGGGATTGGGATAAAATCCATGAGATTGGGATTGGAAATGGGATGGGATCCATGGGATGGCATTGGGATGGGATGGGATGGGTTCCATGGAATTGGGATTGGTCTGGCATGGGATAGGATCCAAGGGATGGAATGGGATTAGGATCCATGGAATTGGGATGGCATGGGATTGGGATGGGATCTATGGGATGGGATGGCATGGCATGGGATCCTTGGGATTGGGATGGGATGGGATCGAAGGGATGGAATGGGATGGGATTGGGGTTGGGATGGGGATGGGATCCATGAGATAGAATCCATGGCATGGCATGGATGGATGGGGTTGGGATGGGATCCATGGGATTGGGATTGTTATGGCATGGGATGGGATCCACGGGATGGAATGGGATGGGATTGGGATGGGATTAGGATTCATGGGATTGAGACGGGATGGGGATGGGATTGGGATGGGATCTATGGGATGGGATGGCATGGCATGGAATCCATGGGATTGGCATTGCGATTGGGAGGGGATTGGCATGGGATCCATGGGATTGGGATTGTTATGGCATGGGATGGGATCCAAGGGATGGAATGGGATTGGGATGGGATTAGGATCCATGGGATTGAGACGGGATGGGAATGGGATTGGGATGGGATTTGGATTGGTATTGGATCCATGAGATAGGATCCATGGGGTGGATGATGGATGGATGGGATTGGGATTGGGATTGGGATTGGGATTGGGTGGATGGATGGGATTGGGATGGGATCCATGGGATGGAGAAGGCCCCTTTCCCCAGGCCAATGGGATGGGATGGGATTTGGATTGGTATTGGATCCATGAGATAGGATCCATGGGGTGGATGATGGATGGATGGGATTGGGATTGGGATTGGGATTGGGATTGGGATTGGGATTGGGATTGGGATTGGGATTGGGATTGGGATTGGGATTGGGATTGGGTGGATGGATGGGATTGGGATGGGATCCATGGGATGGGATCCATGGGATGGAGAAGCCCCTTTCCCCAGGCCGTTCCAGGCTCTGTCCCATCCCCAGCCTGGCCTTGGGGCGCGCTGCTCCCAGAGCTGTCCCCCCCGTGCCCCCGGCTGGGAACACTGGGAACACTGGGATTCCAGCCCCAGCAGGGATCTGGGCTCAGAGCAGGCGGCAGGGGATGGGAATTGCAGCGGGAGGGGCTGGCATGGGGGCTGCGTGTGCTGGAAACAGAGTTCTCTGGTTTGTGCCTTTCCTTCTGTGCTCCTTCAGCTGGAATTCCCAAAAAAGAGAATCTGCTGGCTGATGCCTTTAATGGGGTCAGCTCAAAAATGAAAAACACTCAGGGGTGATTTTTGGTCCAAAAATGCACAATTTTAATGTTTTTAAAATATATGTTATATACTGTGAGGTTTTCTATATAAATATATACATTTATAACCCACTAAAAATATAATAATTGTATATTACATAAATATAATATATATAAAATATATTAATATATATTTATAACCCACTAAAACATGTATCTTTATAAATATATGAATAAGTATATGTTATGAATATAGAAGTGAATAAATATATACTTACTAATAAATATATACTAAATAGGTATATGCCCACTAAATATATACATTTCTAACCCACTAAATATATATTTAGTGGATTGTATATATATGTATGTATATTTTAATATATTATAAATATATAATATATAAATATGAACATATTATATATATAATATATATATTTATAAGCCACTAAAATATCTATATTTATAAATGTATACTAACTCCAATAAATATATCCTAACTGGGGTCAGCTCAAAAATGAAAAACACTCAGGGGTGATTTTTGGTCCAAAAATGCACAATTTTAATGTTTTTAAAATATATGTTATATACTGTGAGGTTTTCTATATAAATATATACATTTATAACCCACTAAAAATATAATAATTGTATATTACATAAATATATTTTATATTTTTATATAAATGCATCTAAATATATAAATAAATATATATAATAAATATATAAATGTATAAATATATACTAACTAATAAATATATACTAAATAGGTATATACCCACTAAATATATATTTAGTGGATTTTATATATTTTTTAAATTTATATAATTTAAAAAAAAATTAATTCATATAAATATGGGGGGTTTTAATGGGAAAAGTGCTCAGAGGCATCAAGATTTGTATGACTCAGGTGAAAACTTCAGATATTTTTGAATTCCTGCTCTTTTAATGGGAAAAGTGCTCAGAGGCATCAAGATTTGTATGACTCAGATGAAAACTTCAGATATTTTTGAATATGTTTGCTCCTCCCCACAGATGAAACAGAGTTCAGGAATTTCATTGTCTGGCTGGAGGACCAGAAAATCAGACACTACAAGATCGAGGACCGAGGGAATCTGAGGAACATCCACAGTGAGGACTGGCCCAAGTCCTTTGAGAAGGTATTTCCTTGCTCTAAAGGACATTTCACAGCTGCTGTGGCTTTGCAACAGAAATAAATAACTCTGAATATTTGTCCTGTTACATTTCTAGGAATTTAAATGTATCACTGAAGCCAGACTGGGGGAGTTTGTGACAATGGGGGAATTTTGTGCATAGTTTTCCCTCAGCTTTGTTTGTTTAGTAGGTGGAGTATCCATCCTAATCTGGTTTTTTTAGATTTTTTTTTGCCTGATTTGATTCAGCTCTTGAATCAGAAAGAAGACTTGACTGCAAATAATAACAATAATTTGCAATAAACAAATTTTTTCTGCATTAATGCCCCTCCTGTCCCAAAAGGAGGTGGCTGAGGCTCCTGCAGGCCTTGCCAGCACGTGGGGGAAACTCATCCCTGCACCTCCTGCCATTCCAGATGGATTTTTCTGGATCCACTTGGATTTTTCTGGATCCACGTGGATTTTTTTTTCCTGGATCCAGATGTTTGGTTTTTTGTTTTTGTTTTTGTTTTTTTTTTCTGGACCCAGATGGATTTTTCTGGACCTAGATTGAATTTTTCCCTTTTTTTTGTGGACCCAGATAATTAAATTTTTTTCTGGATACAGACAATTATTTTTTTCTGGATCCAGATGAACTGAGGGCTTTTTTCTAGGTCCAGATGGCTTTTTTTTTTCTGGACCCAGATGGATTTTTCTGGACCTAGATTGAATTTTTCCCTTTTTTTTGTGGACCCAGATAATTAATTTTTTTTTCTGGATACAGACAATTTTTTTTTTTCTGGATCCAGATGAACTGAGGGCTTTTTTCTAGGTCCAGATGGCTTTTTTTTTTCTGGACCCAGATGGATTTTCTGCATCCAGATGGACTCTGGGTGATCTCTGTGCCCCTGAGCATTTGCAGCCCCCACAAAGCTCTTGAGCTTTTCCTCTTGCTCCCATTTCCCTGCTCTGTAATTCCCAGTGCCCACCCACCCCAAATTTTTTTCCCCCTCCTGGAAACTCTTGCTTTGCTCAGTGAATTATTCCAATATCCTGGAGGTGAATGGGAATATCTGGAATTCCTGGCAGCTGGTGCTGCTGTGGTGCCTTTCCTGGCTTGGTGACAGTGTCCTCTCCATCATTCCCAGGGAATTTCTTCTTTCCAGCCCCTGGCATCCTTTTCCCAGCTCTGTGGCACTCCTGTCCCTGCAGCAAAGGGACATGACAGGATGTCACCATGTCCTGGTTTTTGGGAGCCTTGGCAGGAGCCAGGGCTGGCTCTTGTGGTTTGGGACACAACCTCAGCCTGGTTTTGTCCTTTTTGCTGGACAACATCCCTAAAAAAGGGAAAATTGTGCTGCTCCAGGGAATGCCCTGGTTTGGGGAAGCCTCAGGTGGCTTCATTCCAGGTGGGAAGGCTTTGTTCCAGTTTGTTCCCCCTTCCCTTCTTCCATTTGCTCTGGGATGTGAGCAGAGAGTAAAGCAAGGGCATTTTGGTACAGTCTGGCAATAAAAAACATTCATTAAAAATGAAATTCCATTATCAGGTGTCAGACTTGAGCTAGAGGTGCATTGGGACACTCCAGCACGGGTGAGATGCCACAGCAGGAATTTCACAGTGACACCTCTTGTTAATTAATGTTTGCTGTGAGGCCTGTGGGAAAGTGACCACAGTCCTGTGCTCCCAGCTGATTCATCCACTAAAATCCATTTTTTTCTCTTTTTTTTTTGCTCCCCAGTACATGAAAGATGTGAACTGTCCCTTCAAAATACAGGAACGGCAGGAAACTGTGGATTGGCTGCTTGGCTTGGCTGTGAGGCTGGAGTATGGAGACAATGGTATGAGGGAATCCTTTTCATACCTCAGAATGGGAGGGGAATGGGGGATTCTGATTCATTTCCCACAATCCCAGTGTGGTTTGGGCTGGAAGGGACCTCAGGGATCCATGGGCATTACCCCAGGCTGCTCCCAGCCCTGTCCAGCCTGGCCTGGGGCACTGCCAGGGATCCAGGGGCAGCCACAGCTGCTGTGGGCACCCTGTGCCAGGGCCTGCCCACCCTCCCAGCCAGGAATTCCTTCCCTTTGGCTGGAGGAGTTTTGGTTTGGAGGAACATTACAGCATTCCCAGTGTGGGGTCACTCCCTCTGTTCCTTGGTTCCATTCCATGTACCTCAGAGACAGTTTCATCTGCAACCTTTATTGCCAAAGCTGTGCTGTCCCTGTGCTTTGGGACAGCTCCATGCCCTGTCCACCTTTCCTGGGATCCTTGCTACAGCTGGCACTTTGTTGGCAAACAACCAAATGTGCCTTCTCCTCCTTGAAGCCCTCCTGTGCTTTCTTGCTGGTTTTTCTGGAGAAACACAGAGAGATTTGGGTTGAAAGGAAGCTGCAAAGACCTGCCAGTCCAACCCCCTGGGCAGGGCCACATCCAGCCAGGCCAGGCCGCTCCCAGCCCCGTCCAGCCTGACCTGGAACACTTCCACAAAGGATCTCCTGCACTTCTGCAGGTGCTTCAGGTAGAGCTTCAGCAAGTCAGGGTCTTCCTTCAGCTTGGAGAGCAGCTTGGAGGTCTTGCAGAAGCATGCATCCTTCCTGCCACACGTCTGGAAGGCACAGGGTGACAGGGACAGAGCGTGACAGGGACAGAGGCATCTCAGGTCTCTCCTGGGCTGCCCCAGGGAGCAGCTTGTGTGGGAATCATGGGATGCTTGGCTTGGAAGGTCCCTTAAACCCCATCTCATTCCAATCCCCAGGAATGTTAAGCCTCTCCTGGTTTTCTCCACAGTGGCCAGGACCCTCCTGTGCCTGCTGGGGCTGGGCACAGTCTGGCAAGGCCCTCCCTTGTCCCCATGGGCCCCCTGGCACCCCTCCCTCACCTTCCTCCAGTGGTTCCTGCTGAGGAAGAGCAGCAGGAGCAGCAGGCACAGGGCTGGGGTGCTCCAGTAAAGCACCTCAGCCGTGGTGATGCCCTTGGGGGCACTGCCCTTCTCCAGCTGGGGCACATCCCACACCAGGGTGGCCCAGGAGGGTGGGCACGAGCGGGGGGTGCTGCTGGGGTAGAAACAGCTGAACCCAAAGGCCACCAGCAGGAGCTGCTCCAGGCTGGGCATCCCTCAGGGGTGCTGCTCAGGCCATCCCTGGGTGGCACCTGCAGCTCTGCAGCGTGGGGACAGGAGCTGGCACCCCCACGGTGTCACCAAATGTGCCATGATGTCACAGTGCCCTTGCACAAGCTAATTCCATGGGCAGGGGCACCTTCCCCTGCAGAAATGCACACTGGTTTGGAGTTTTCATCAAAATCAGACAGTGTCCAAAGTGTATTTCACTTCCTTAAAAAATAAAACACAATTTCACGTGCTTGTTTCCACCCCCTGCTCAGAGGAACTTTTCAGCTCCCACAGGACTGGAGCAGCATAATTGCATTTGTTATTTTATTTTATTTCTGGCTAGAGCCAATCCCATTGTAGATATTTACCCCCTTCTCCCTGTGGGATTGCCTTTATGAGAACTTCCTCTGAAGTGTATTAAATGCATTATATTTAGTACTACATTTATTCAGAGAAGTTATTCTTAGACCCCCTTTTAAATTTTTTTAACAAGAAGTGGATGTGGAACCCTTGGGAACTAGGACAAAGTCATGAAAAAGTGGAGTTAAATCTCCCCAAGTCACAGCAGTTCCATCTCCTTGTGCAAAGATTTGGAATACAAATGTAATTACTGGTGGCAAAATAACAACAGCCAAAGTGCTGCTTTTCCATTTCCTTTCATTCCTGCAGGGCTGAGCTCTGCCCAGAGCAGGGATGGGGTACAAATACCTGTGGTGTGATTCTCAGTCCCTCATGATGGGCAAAATGAGCTGCCTGTTCCTTGGGATTGTGTGAAAAAGGTGGAGTTCAGGAGATTCCATCCTCCAAAGGCTTTGGAAAACCCCAGTGTGGGCTGTGAAACAAACCCTGAGCTGGAAATGTTTTATTTACTCATCAGGACCAACATCATCCTCCCAATTCCTGATTCCTGCTCGAGGCAGAGGAACTGATGGATTTTAGAAGTGGCAGATCTGGGAGATGCAGCTTTTGTGCTGAGTTTCTGCTTCTTTTTTGCCAGGGTTGGGATTAAATCATGAGATCACTTTTAACCCAAGAACCAACCACCCCTGCCTGCAATGGGGACTTCTTATCCAATTACACAAAACCACCCAAACCCTTGGAGAAGAAGGTGAAGAAGAAGGAGCAGCCTCCACCCTAAAACCTCCACCTTGCTTTATAGATATTGCTATTCTAAACCCTTAAACTCTTAATTTTCCCACCCTGTGATATCACACACTTATCCAAACTCCACACCCACAATCCCAGTTCTGTCATTCCATTCTGGAAGCTTCTCCAGCCCTCAGGTCAGTGCAGAGTTCTCTTGGGGGTCAGAGCCTGGCAGCACAGAAAGTCTGGAATTCTCAGCAATTCCCAGGGTTCCATCACTTGTTCAGCCTTCTGGGGTGAGGCTGTAATGAAGGGGATCCTGCCCTGTGTAAAATGTGGAGCAGGCTCTGGGGCTGCTCCTGGAATCTCTCTGCAGCTGGGAGCTCTTGGAGCAGCTCACTGGAGTGGCAGCTTTTGGTATCATTCATGGAGAGCTCCAAAATCCCAGGTTATAAACCCAGAAATCTCAGTTTATAATCCCACAAGGCTCTTGGGCAACTCCCACACCCCAAAATTCCAGCTGTAACACCACAGCTCCTTGCTAAACTTTGAGTTAGTTCTTCTTGCCATTAGTGCTGATGATGTTTGTGTTTGCCTCCTCATTTTGCAGCTGATAAATACAAGGATTCCACCCCTGATGGTGCTAAAAATGCAGACAACACAGCAAAAAATGCAGAGCCACTGATTAACCTGGATGGTGAGTGTGCCACAAGCTCCTGCATGGGGATGTGCTCCATGCCCTGGGTGTTCCTCAGTTGCTTAATCCTATGATGTAGATTTTTTAAAGCCCCATTTATAGCTTTAGGAGTGCATAGCTGAACATTTGCATGAACAGCTTTGCTCTGTAAATCATAATTACTTACTGTAAGTGAGGGAGAAGGAGCAAGATGCCTTAAAAAATAAAAATATCCAAGGAAACATGATGGCAGGCTGGTTACTTCCATGCTGTCAGGGATTTCATGTTGGCTCAGACTTCCCCAGCTGTTCTGTCATCGTAATTTTATTTTTTTTCCCCTGCTAGGCACAGCCACAATAAATCAAAGTGGTGGGAAAGAGCTGCTAAAATTAATCCTAAATTTTCCAAATATTCTTCCATTCCTCCATCTCCAAAAAGGCAGGGATTGATCCTGCCCTCACCAGCAACAGGAATAAAAAGATACAAAACAATAAAAATGTACAAATAATGTACAGAAGAGAATTCCTACCTGTAATTTGCTTTATTTTCAAGCACTTTACCTGGTTGTGTAGCCCAGTGCTGATTCCTCTGCAGCCAAATTGTTTCCTCACTGCTTGGAATCATGGAATTAAGGTTGGAAAATCCCTCTAAGATCACAGAGCCCAACAATGAGCCCAGCATTGCCACATTCAGCACTAAATAATGTCCCCAGGTGCCACCTCCTTGTTTTTGGAACACTTCAAGGATGCTGAGGAATTGCCTTGTCCATCCTTGAGAGCAATCCAATGCCATGGAGTCAGGCAGCCAGTTCTGCCTGCTGGAATCAGTGATACCAAAATAAATGATCATTTCTTTTGAATGATAATCCTTCTTTTTTTCCAGTGAATAATCCTGATTTCAAGGCTGGAGTGATGGCTTTGGCTAATCTGCTTCAGATCCAGAGGCATGATGATTACTTGGTGATGCTCAAGGTGAGTTTCACACTTTTCCCACCTCCTTTTCTCCTTCTTTTCCCACCTCCTTTTCTCCTTCTTTTCCCCAGTGCCTGGTGTGTGTTCATAGCTTGAGGTGAAGTTAGTGATAAACATGATTTTTTAGGTAAAAATGGGAAAAAAAAAACATTTATGTGTCTTTTAAGCAGATAAAAACACAATTCCTGGAAATTCATGCAGGGAGAATTATCCTGGTAAACAATTTTAGCTGAGTTCCTTAAGGAACATCCTCAAAGGAGAAAGTTCTGTTCCAGTGGTAGAAATTAAGAGAAAGTTGAAAATTTAAAAGTTAATGATGATAAAGATGTTTTAAAACAACATCCAAGGGAGGAGCCACAGTTAAAAGTTTCCTTTTTCTTTTGGTCCTATGAACTGTTTATTCCTCGCCATTACTGAAATCAGTTTAATTTAGTTTTGACAACTAATTATGGGGCTTAAGTGCCATAAATAGGCTAATTAATTTTCTAAACCATCTTTTTTATGCCTTTAAGAAATTTTCTGACTTTCTGGTGGAACTCTGTAGATTTGGGGTCAAGCCCATACAGTATTTTTTTTCAATAAAAATACATTTTTGATTGACATGATCATTCCTACTTGGTCATGTCATACTATGGGAATAAACTTCGTTTGGTTTGGAATAAAAATAAAAACATTTAACTTAAAAAAACCCCATAAAGTTCTGTTCATGACAATAGTTGTGATATTTGCTAAATTTATTTTGGAGAAACCAAAAGCTGTGGGTGTTGAAGTTTATTTAGTGTAAGTCTGTAACTCTTGGAAGAGTATTATGGTAACCTGGTTTCTTGAGGAATTCTCAGCCTGCAGTTATTCCACATATTTTTTTCTCCTTCTCTCCAGTTTCCTACTTTCCCTTCCCAAAATATCCTTCTTCAGTGTTTAAGGAGCATGGACATCCCATACCCCCTACCAAAAACCACTCAAAACCCCACAAAAATATCAGTGATAAGGGATATCAGTGAAAAGGGATATCAGGTAGGGAGGGGAGAGCCTGGGTGTGCTGATACTGAGCATTTGCAGCTTGAATGAGCTCAGCTCTTATCAAAATTCCTTCAGATCTTCTCTGCAGGAAACTTTGGAGAATTTATAATTCTGCATAAATAAATTTATGCAGAATTACACACCCAGTAAAGCAAACTTTATTGGGTGTATAACTCTACATAAATGTATTTTTGTTTCCACATCTCTTTTTGTCAGACAGATTTGGGCAAAACCAGCCTGAATTTTCTCGCTTTTAATTCCAGCAGGAGTGGAATCCTGCAGTGAAAATCCCCATTCCAGGAACAATGCAAAGCTGCTTTGGGGTTGAGATGATGATGTTAGAAGGTGTCAATCAAACTCTTTAATTCTCCCCCACATTAAGCAGGTTTGCAGGGAATTTCTGATCCCTGTCCAGGCTTGGACACTCAGGAGTGGATGTTTTGGGAGGGCCAGAGGGTGCAGGCACAGCACAGACATCTGGCCAGAGATTGAGATCCCATTTTCTTCATTTAAACCTGGCAAGTTGATCAGAAAGCATCTGTGGGACACAGTTGGATATTTCCTAATGCCAAAGGCACTTGGAATTCTCTTCCACAAGGTCTGGTTTCACTGCTGGAATTCAACTCCCCATCAAACCATTCCTTTGTCCAGGCCACTTCCTTCAGTGACAGATTTCTAGAAGTATTTCAGTGACAACTTTCTGGTATCAGCTCAACTTTAATCATGACCAAAACTGGGAGAAATCCTGGGGGAGAAACACAGAGCTGCTTCTGTCACTTCTGGCTGCTCATCAGGGAGAGTCTGAGCAATGTGTGTGACAGAGCCAGTTCTTCTTTGCTGTGGAGATCTGCCTGCATGCTATTCCTGCAGTTATTTTGGGAGGCATTTGGAGCTGTAGGTACCAGTAACTGATAGCTCTGATAGGATTTCAGCCCATGTGCTGCAGCCAGGGAAAGCAGATGAGCACCAGGATTGTCAGAGTCAAGGCTGCTCTTGTTCCCAAGGCTAAAATTAATTCCTTTCTGCTCTCAGTCTTTTCCAAGCCTGCCTGGGAAGCCTTGCTCCAGGTTTCTCTGCATGTGGGAGGAGGTTCAGCACCTCCTGAAAGATACTGGCAGCAGAATTTCCTTCCCAAGGCAGCATTTCCATCCCAAGGCAGCATTTTCATGTCAAGGCAGGATTTCCTTCCCAAGGCAGCATTTCCTTCCTAAGACAGGGTTTCCTTCCTAAGACAGGGTTTACTTCCCCAGACAGCATTTCCATCCCAAGGCAGCATTTCCTTCTTAAGGCAGTATTTCCATCCCAAGGCAGCATTTCCTTCCTAAGACAGGATTCCCATCCCAAGCAGCATTTCCTTCCCAAAGCAGCACTTCCATCCCAAGCAGCATTTCCTTCCTAAGACAGGATTTCCATCCCAAGGCAGCATTTCCTTCCCAAGGCAGCATTTCCTTCCCAAGGCAGCATTTCCATCCCAAAGCAGCATTTCCATCCCCAGACAGCATTTCCATCCCAAGGCAGCATTTCCATACCAGCTTGAGGAGTTTCCTCTTGTCCTGTCTCTTGTTCCCTGCCAGGAGATCCCAACCCCCTCCTGGCTCCTCCCTCCTGGAGCCTCCTTTTTTCCAGGCTAGAAATCCCAAGCTTTGCAGGCTATTCCTTGTATTTTGCAGCTTCTGTCCCAAGAGTGGCAGGAATTAATGATGTGAAATCCTCGTCACTTCTGGTTCTCTCACCTGGGTGAGATCCTACATGCCACGATTATTCCTAAATGGAAAGGTCTAAGGGCTGGAAAAGTTTTTTAAAAATCCCAAACTGTCACAAAACTGGGTTTGAGGTTATATTTTTGGCTCTTTTTCCCTTGGAATTAGTGAGAAATGCCTCAAGACATGAATTAATTCCTGTCCCCTTTCCATGTTTTTCCCAGGCAATTCGGATTCTGGTTCAGGAGCGCCTGACACAGGATGCCATAGCCAAGGCCAGCCAGTCCAAGGAGGTTTGTACCCACGGCCAGGCTTAATTATTCCATGCTAATTAATGAAGATAAAGCTCTGTCCCCTCAGTCAAAACCACTTCTGTTCCAACAGCTCATGTAGGAGGATGGTGGCAGCTTCATTTATCCCAGCCACGCTGATTCCAGCAGATCTGGGGGTTTGGAGGGCAGGACACACAGCTGGGTTTGTTCCATGTGAATGCAAATACACCTGTGTGGGAAATCATGGAATAACTCTTCCCTGAGTTATTTTCCACAGGATTATCCTGACTGCTCAGTGCAGCAGGCCTGTAGAGTGAGGAGAAATGCTTGACCTGGCTTTTCCTTGAAATTAGCAGTGTTGGCTGCATAAAGAAGTTGAAATATTCCTTGTGTGGAGGGATTTTATTTTCATATGGACACCTCATCTGTGTTCGAGGGATGGGATGTTGGAAATCCAGCTCCTCCCTCCTCTCTTCCCCTCATAAAAAAGGAGCAGTGAAGGAAATTTCTGCCCTTAAAGTCAGATTTTTGCAGAATTCTTTGCTAGCCACAAGCTGTCTGTTGGGAAGACGTTCCAGGGGATGACTGTGGGATTTTACTTTTGGATTTCCTCATCATTCCAGATCTTTCCAGCATTTGGCAGAGCTGGGGAAGGCTGGGAAAGGCAGCCTCACCTGCCCTGCAGGTGTAGGAGTGTGAGTGTCCCTGCTAAAGCAGCTGGATCTGCTCAAAGAGCCCAAATTCCTTCATTTTTTTGGCAGCTGCTCACAACAATCCATGATTTATTTATTTCTTTATTTATTAATCAAAGCTTTGGACCTGCAAATCCATAAAACTGTTCAAAGAGCAGGAGAAGAGGAAAGCAGCTGAGCCTGTTGTCTTCCTGTTAAGGTTCTGTAATGTTAATAAAAAGCAGCTTTTAGTTGTTGTTTTCATAGCTGCACAGCTGGGATCAAAATGGGATTTTCTTGGAGGAACAGGGAAATTTTATTTTTTTTTCTGCCAGGGAATTGTTCATTTCTGACAGATCTTCAAAGCATCAGCAGGGCTGAGAGGTCTCTGTCTGGGAGATAACCTGGGAGTGTTTTTTCCTTAGGAGTGCCACATTCCAAGGGGTGTGAAGAAAAGGGAGTGGTGAGAAGCAGGAAAATCTGTGCCAGGAGGGACCAGCAACATCTTCTTCTTGTGCCAGGGGTTAAAAAAGGAAATATCTCCAAAGCACAGAGGATGGCTGGCTTGGGAATTTAAAAAAAAAATGGAAAATTAGATTTATTCTTCAGGTTTTGACTGATTTGTAAATGGCCACATTTTTGTGCAGCATTCATAAATCAGATTTGTAGGGAATGAGGCTGGAAGTGAAGTTGTGTGTGTAGCTCCTGATGTAAAGGTGCTCTTTTTTTAGTTTATTCCCTGTTGGAAGGATCATGAGCTTGTTGTAGGATGGGCTGAGGGATTCCAAAGGCAGTTTCCCAAAAAGGATCAGACTCAGGGAGTGTGGGAAGAAGGGAGGTAAGGAATTTCCTGCTACCAGGTGACACTGGGGACTTCATCCACGAAGAACTGTCAGAGAAAAAAAGACAAAAAATGACAATTTTCCCTCAGGAACACCCCAGGCTGGCAAGGACCTTAAGTACAAACCTCAGTTCTTAAAAAAAATCCTTGCAGGAAGTCTGATATTTCTGGAATCTTTCTGAAGTGGCTTTAGTGGCATTTTGATCACCAATTTTAACAGTGGAAATGGATTTTTAAGATTGCATTGAACGTGGATTTTGCTACAAAGGCCATGGAAAAACCCCACTTTTTGCAAAAGAGTTGCAGCCACCAGTTTGTGTTTAATGTGTGTTTTGATCAGCTCAGATTCTTTTTTTTTTCTCCATGTGTATAAAAGCCTTTAAAGGGAATTTTCACTGTCTAAAAGCTTTACAGCCCCATCCCTGCAGAAATTAATGGTATTGAACCCTGATGTTTTTGTTGTGCAGAATGCAAGGCTTTTGGCAAATGTTGACAAAACTCACTGAGGGTAATAAAAGCAAATTCTGGCATTTGGAATGTTTAAATCTAATTTTAAGTGCATGTTGAAGCTCCCTGAGTAAAGATTTAGTGTGACCACTCCTCTGCAGCTGGACAAAGGAAACAGAGCAATGCTTAGAAATGACCACTAATAAATTTTGCCTCGGAGTCTTTCAATAGAGAAAATGTTTAGAAAACTGAATATTTCCCTTTATTCCTAAGCTTCACACTCGAGCAGATGCTTCTGGGGATGTGGTGAGCTCAGCAAAACTTGATTTTAATGCAGAGAATTTCTGCAGCTCTGTGCAATCAGCCCCTGCCAGAGGCTGGCAGCTGTGGAAAGGCAGAATTCCTAAGAAAGCCCAGTTTTGTTTTCCTGGGGAGCTGCAGCATTGGGTGATGGCTCCCAGTGCTGCTGTTGGCCTTTTAAGGATTGAATGCAGGCACTGTGTATCCAGTGAGGGATTCTTAAGCAGGAAGATTTTTCTGTAATAATACCCTGGGTTTGGTGTTTCAGGACACAAAGGGAGTTGTTTAATCAACTTTTCAAACTTTTCACACATTTTTGTCTGAGCAAAACCCGTATTTTCTCCCTCGGTTTCCTGCTGCAGTACTTGATGTGTTTTACCAAACATTTAAATGACATTTTTAACTTTTTTTTTTCCTTTTCCAGGGTCTGCCTGTTGCTCTGGAAAAGCACATTCTTGGATTTGACACGGGAGGTGAGCACTGCTTCTAATGTGACTTTTAAATGGGATTGCTTGCCTTTGACAGAGTTATTACTGTCAAATCCAGAGCTGATGTGGACAGCAAAAAACCCTGCAGTGGAAAGAATTCCTCCCTCCCAGCTGGTTATTTATGAGCATCCCTGAGCATTTTGGGTTTGGCACGGCCAAGCCTCAATCCAGTCTGTTTGGAATCTGTTGAAATAACAGCTTTTAGTGCAGCCCGAGGAATGCATCGTGCTGGTGGTGAATCCTGCTGCTGCCAGCAGGGGACAGCTCTGCATGCACTGCAGCTCTGCCTCCCACAGCCATCCAGGCAGCTCCGGGTGGCACCGGGGTATTGATAAACCTGGGGGGTTATTGGTAAACCTGGTGGGTTATTGGTAAATATGGTGGGTTATTGGTAAATCTGATGGGTTATTGGTAAACCTGGGGGGTTATTGGTAAACGTGGTGGGTTATTGGTAAACCTGGTGGGTTATTGGTAAATCTGATGGGTTATTGGTAAACCTGATGGGTTATTGGTAAATCTGATGGGTTATTGGTAAATCTGGTGGGTTATTGGTAAACCTGATGGGTTATTGGTAAACCAGGTGGGTTATTGGTAAATCTGATGGGTTATTGATAAACCTGGTGGGTTATTGATAAACCTGGTGGGTTATTGGTAAATCTGGTGGGTTATTGGTAAACCTGGTGGGTTATTGGTAAATCTGGTGGGTTATTGGTAAATCTGATGGGTTATTGGTAAATCTGGTGGGTTATTGATAAACCTGGTGGGTTATTGGTAAATCTGGTGGGTTATTGGTAAACCTGGTGGGTTATTGGTAAATCTGGTGGGTTATTGGTAAACCTGGTGGGTTATTGGTAAATCTGGTGGGTTATTGGTAAACCTGATGGGTTATTGGTAAATCTGATGGGTTATTGGTAAACCTGATGGGTTATTGATAAGGAACAGCCATGCAGGTGACCTGGGGCTCCACATTACTTAAATCATTGCTTGGAATGTTTCACACCAACCTCAGAGTGGGAGGTTGGACTGAGATGATCCTTAAAGTCCTTCCAGCCCAACCCAGCCTCTTGGGTTTTTTTAAATTTATTATTTTTATTAATTTTTATTGCAATGTGGATGTTTTTAATTAATAAGTTATTATATGTATCTATTTTATTATAGTATTAAAAATCTTATTTTATATTATTATATTTTTGTTATGAATTTTTATCATATTTAGCTTTTAAATTTATTTTATATAATTGTATTTCTGGTTTTTTTATTGTTTTATTAATATAGTTCTTTATTTAATGTATATTTTTATTTCTAATTATCAGAATCATCCTCTGGAACATCTTCAGTGCCTTTGCCACATCCCATCCCTGTTCTGCAGGATTTTGGAGCACACACAGTCTCTGTCTTCAGGGCAGTTTGTTAATTAGACCCAGCAATTTACTGCATCCACAGCTTCCCACAGGCACTTAATTTCTTATTTTTGGATAAAAGGACCTCTTGGGTCAGATTGTCAAAACTATGAAAAATTAATCCATTCTTCTTCCAATAAAATAAAACATTGGAGTAGAAAAAAAAAAAAAAGCTACATTTTAAATCTTGTGTAAGCGAGAGTTCGAGTCATGGCTTGAGCTTCCCAGGATCTTTTCTTTTTTTCTTTGGTGATATCTCAACATTTTCCACTTGGTAAAAAAATACAGTAGTAAAGTCTTGAGGTATAACTATAAAAAATACTTGAAAATCTTTTGCAGGAAAGCAGGGCACTTCATTGGCCTTGGTGAGGGACTTCTCCCCCCTCGTATGCAGTGACAGTTCTCTGGGTCTGAAATTCCTCTGGGTGCAAAGATCCTTGTTTCCTTGAAAATGGAGTTACTATTTCCTGGCTGTGGGGAGAAATGGAGATTTTCAGTGTGGAGATTTTTCAGGCACCTAGCAGCCATCAGAATTCCCAAGGGGATGGGGTTTGGGTGGGTTTTACCTCCAGGGCAGTAGGGATAAACTGCTGTGATTCCATAGAGGTGGGATCGCTGCTCTGGAAGATACTCATCAGTGAAGGAGCCTGTTTCTTTATTTACAGCTATCACCCCATCCCTGGTGAAAAAAGGGGAAGAAGTGTTTTATTCACCTATGAAACTTGGGGGTTTTCCCCTATTTATGTGTGTTTAAGAACAGGCAGCTGAAAATCTTGCTCTGAACACCTGCAGGACAAGTGGAAAGAGATTTGCCCTGTAAAATCCTCCTCCAGCTCAGCCAGTGCATTTCTCTGTGGTGATGCAGCCACAGAAAAGAGCCTTCCAAGGAGAGATTATCTCCCTGAGAGTCTCCTCCGAGTGTGGCCAGCCCTTAAGTGTTTGTTGTAACCCAAGATTGGATGGGAGCTGTGAGAGCTTCCAGCTGGAGTGGGAAGAGAGGCAAAGGGAACGGCTGAGGACAGGATCTTTCCTTGGACCTAATCTACATCCAGAGACTTCAGCCAAGTTTCAGTTCAAAAAAACAAAACCCAAACCACTGTTTCTGTCCCTCCCAGGGAGCTGGGCTTGTGTCTAAACAATCTGTGCTGAGATTTACAAGCAGGTGTTGCTGAAGCCACGCTCAGAGACCCGGGAGAGCTCTGGGGAGACTCCAGGATTTGGGATTCCTCTCAGGGAGGGGAGCTGAGCATTCCCAGGCGTGCAGGGGGTGGGTTTTTCCCTGCTCACCGTCTCCAGTCCGTGTGGTAGAAGTGGTTGGCGTAGCTGATGATGCTGAAGGGGTAGTTGAGGTTGCTCTGGATGACGCGCCGGCCGGTGCCATCCGGGAATGTGCATTCCAGGTGCTTGGTGCCTGTTCAAACACAAAATATCCCCCATCCCGCTGGAAATGCCGCACCAAATATGTTCTTGGTATTTCACAGACTCACAAGGATCACAGCACACCCCATCAATCCCAGCCTGGGCATCCCTGGCAGCTCCTGGAGCTCTGGCAGCCTCGGGGCTGTGCCCATTCCCTGGGGAGCCTGGGCACTGCCAGCACCCTCTGGGGAAGAGCCTTTTCCTGATTTATTGCATTTTGAAACAGCTTTTCAGCATGAAGATGTAGAACCATAAAATTCAGGGTTGGAAAACCTCCCTAAGACCAAGTCCAGCCATCTCCCAGCACTGCCAAGGCCACCACTGCTCCATGTCCCCACATGCCACATCCACGCGGCTTTTAAATCCCTCCAGGGACAAGGACTCTACCACTGCCCTGAGCAACAACATTTTTCATGAAGAAATATTTCCTAAAATCCAATCTAAGCCCCAGCTGACACAACACTGGTGGCCACAGGTAGCACTGGGCTGAAGACACCCAGGATTTTCCCTTGAGGCCCAGTTTGACATTGTCTGATCCTTCCCTGGGGACATTACCTGCGTCTGCCCAGCACAGCAGCTTGGAGAAGGGGTCAAAAGTCAGGCCATTGGGCAAACCAATGTCTGTGTGCACCAGAACCCTCCTGTTGGCTCCATTGACAGTGGAAGTTTCAATTTTGGGAGCTTCGCGATTCCAGTCCGTCCAGTAAAGGTTGCTTGGGAAATAATGCACAAACAGGGCAGAACCGTAAGGAGTGGTGGGAGATTATCCTGGTTCTTGCCAGGAGCAAGGCCTGGTTTTTCCTTATCAGTGCCTGAACCATGTTTATTTGATTAGGAAAAAACCTCTCCAAACAAATATCAGACATGTTTATGACCCAAACTGCAGCTCCTCGACGAGGGCGAGTCTGAGGAGCAGCACATTTTGTATCCCAACAGCAGCACCCTGGAGGCACAGCTCTTCAAAATAATCCACATCCTGATACTGAAACAGCAGCTTTAGCCAGATCTCAAATTATTCAATAAAAAAGGGGGCTGGGGAGCAGAGCCAATCCCTCCTACAGGACGAGGTCAGGACAGGGTCTGAAGGAGGCTGAATTGCTGCTAGCATAGTCCAGGGTAAGGAAGCAAAAAGGACCTTTGCATAACATCCACAGATGTTTCATTCAGCCACGTGGTGAGATGATCAGCACCCACACATGGAGAGTCTTAAGTTTCTCTTTGCCAAGAGGTTGACTCTGGTCTTGGGGCTGTACAAAGATGAGGGCCAGTCACGGAATAGGGAAGGAGTGGCTCAGGGACACAGGAACAGACACAGGAACAGACTTAGGAACAGGGGAAGGAGCCATTGGGGTCAAACAGCTTTTTGAGGGAAGCTCCTTGCGTCTCCCAAAACCAGGAAATTCCCCCCCAGGGTATCCCCAGCAGCCTTGGCACCTTACAAAGCCCAAGCCCCAAATCCCCGCGGGGTTCGTGCTGCTCACCCTCGGACGGGGTCCACGGCGATGGCGCGGGGGTTGACGAGCTCGGTGTCGAAGAGCACGCGGCGCTCGGAGCCGTCCAGCCGGGCCCGCTCGATCCTGTCCAGGCCGCTGTCCGTCCAGAACACGGCGCGGCGCAGGTGGTCCACGGCCAGGCCCTCGGGGCTGATCAGGCCTGCTGGGAGACGGCCACGTGAAACACAGAAATCCAGACAAGTTTGGAAATTTCGAGCTTGGAGCCCCACTGTCTGCCAGTGCGACTGGAAACAAACGGAGGCCATTTCCCGTGGGAAAAATATGTCCTTTTCCCAGGGTCTGGGTATCAGCTCAGAGGTGGCTTTTGGGCCTCGGAGGACTTGCAGGGTCCTCACTGCTGGCAGCTTTAGTTTGGAGAAATCCAGCAAAATTTGCAAATTTCTAGCATGGCAGCCCACCATCTTCCTGGGAAAGTGGCCGCAAATGGAGGCCATATTCCATGGGGAAAAGATGTACTTTCCCCAGGGTCTGGGTATCAGCTCAGAGGTGGCTTTTGGGCCTCGGAGGACTTGCAGGGTCCTCACTGCTGGTAGCTTTAGTTTGGAGAAATCCAGCAAAATTTGCAAATTTCTAGCATGGCAGCCCACCATCTTCCGGGGAAAGTGGCCGCAAATGGAGGCCATATTCCATGGGGAAAAGATGGACTTTCCCCAGGGTCTGGGTATCAGCTCAGAGGTGGCTTTTGGGCCTCGGAGGACTTGCAGGGTCCTCACTGCTGGTAGCTTTAGTTT